AATATTACCACATTTCTACAAGGAACTAAAGTATCAACAGAAAGTCTAGTTTATTCTAGTTGTTACACCCACGTACATGTTATCTGCTTCCTTTAATACCATACCTATAAGAAATTAAACTCCTAATGTTACTACAGTATATAATCCAATATAAAAAGACAGGAAATTTAAATAGTCTAACATTCCTTTTAAAAACCAAACCAAACCATATTCCAACAAGTGTTAGTGATTAAGGGTCCTTATTTTTCTGAAGAGCTTAATATTTTGAAAATTCAAGCCACAGAAAACCTAATGAATGATATAGTATAATCTCATACTGACCCTTTGTGGTTTAATGAAGTATAACATCATAAAAGTCCTGAAATTCAGGGTAACTGTTACTGGGAACACACATTTTGACAGATATAATCCACCAAAATTCACACATCACATGAACAGTATTCTAGCTTATTAGGTACCTTTATAAATATCTCAGATTCCTCAAGAAAGTTATTATTAGTCCCACTTTCCAAACAAACAGATCCTGAAAGATTAGTTCCTTTGTTTCATTTAATACATACAGTATATAAAAGACTCTTTATGTTTACACAAACACACATACTTGTGTGACGCATATACCAAGGATTCACAGATAGCAATACTTTATCAGAGGCCTTCAAAAATATTATAGCTAAAGACATAAAAAATATATACTCTATATTAGAATATTAATTGTCCTCTATTCAATTAGCCATAAAAAACAGCAACAACAACAACAAAAAAATCTATACCTGGGGAAGCTGGGTAGCTCAGTCGGTTAAGCGTCTAACTTTGGCTCAGGTCATGATCTTACAGTCCTTGAGTTTGAGCCCCGTGTTGGGCACTGTGCTGACAGCTTGGAGCCTGGAGCCTGTTTCAGATTCTGTGTCTCCCTCTCTCTCTCTGCCCCTTCCCTGCTCATGTTCTGTCTCTCTCTCTCTCTCAAAAAATAAAGATTAAAAAAAAAAAAAAGAATATATCCAACTTTGATGGTAAATCCACAAAACTGGCACTTTTACTTATTGCTGAAGGCATTATATGCTAGTACAACCCTTTTGGAAAGGAATTTGGCAATTATCTCTAGACACAAAAAGTGTTCATGCCTTCTCCTAGTAATTCCATTTCTGGGAAGTCATCCTATAAAAATAATTCAAAATATGGAAAAAGCTATAGATTATTTACAATGTCCTAGATGCTAGTATCTGAGATTTAACACTTGAGGTTTTGACACTGGTAGTTTTAACTTGTGAGAGAACCACAGGTTGATCCACAGCATATGTCAAGTTCCTATGTGAATAAGGAAGTCACATAACTACTGAGTGTGCTTGACTGCCAGCATTAGCTTTTCCTTGTGGTCTGACCGCTCTCTACATGCTCAGAAACATTTCTAAAATGGGGGAGGGAGGGAATGGACATGTTCATTAAAAAATTGTTTAAAAGGAAAAGGCCCTAGGGGGCGCTTGGGTGGCTCAGTCAGTTGAGCCTCCAACTTCAGCTCAGGTCAGGATCTTACGGCTCTCGAGCCCTGAGTTGGGCTCTGTACCTGGAGCCTCCTTCAGATTCTATCTCCCTCTCTCTCTGCCCCTCCCTTGCTCGTGCTCTGTCTCTCTCTTAAAAAATGAAGAAACATTAAATGTAAAAGGCCCTAAAATAGCAAGCCAGTTACTTGGCTGGTGATGAATGTGAAGAGTCTAAATAAGTACTGATATTTTTGGGCCTGAGATTGGTAATGGCCTTCAGTCACATTTCTTTCCAATACCATTAAGTCCACTACAGTGAAAGATCAGAAATATGATTCTGTGTTCAACAACAGTAAGATGATAAATCAATCCAACTAATCACTCAGTGGCTGAATTAGGGTACTGGAATTACAGATGATAATTTTTCATTTTACATTTTCAAAATATTTTCTGTGACATTAATATTACATCTGGAAATTAAACTCAAGATAAAAACGTACTGCTAAACAGAAAAGGGAACAGTTTACAATTCATTTCATAACATCAGCTCTATCCTGATACCAAAAACCAAGGACATTGGAAAAAATAAAAACCATAGACAAATATTCTTCATTAACACAGATGCAAAAATCTTTAACAAAACATTACAAAATTGAATTCAGGAATATGTAAAAAGGATAATACACCATGACCAAGTGAGGGTTAGCCCAGGAAAACTGTATTACTTATATCTTCCAGTTACAAATACAAGTATACAGGTCATTTTTTTTTGTATTTTCCCTACATAATTATATTAACATAGAGAGAGGTGTGATCTGATCTATTTGACAAAGCTAAAATATTTCCTATGAAATTTCTCAATCAAGATTATTGTAAATCTGCTTTCTCAGTCAATTCAATACTTCAATTCAAAATGTTCATTTTAGGGGTGCTTGGGTGGCTCAGTCAGGTAAGTGTCCAACTCTTGATTTTGGCTCAGGTCATGATGTGCCCCATATCAGGCTCTGCGGTGACAACGCAGATCTTGCTTGATATTCTTTCTCTTCCCCCCTCTGCCCCTCCCTCCATAATGTGTATGCATGCTCTCTCAAAATAAAATGATAAAAACATTTTTAAAAATGTTCATTTAAAATATCTTCACTCAGGGGCACCTGGGTGGCTCAGTCGTTAAGCATCCAACTTCGGCTCAGGTCATGATCTCATGGTACGTGGGTTCAAGCCCCACGTTGGGCTCTGTGCTGACAGCTAGCTCAGAGCCTGGAGCCTGCTTCAGATTCTGTCTCCCTCTCTCTCTCTGCCCCTCCCCTGTTCACGCTCTCTCTCTCTCTTTCTCAGAAATAAATTTAAAAAAAAATTTAAAAAAATTTTTAAAAAATATCTTCAATGAGCTCTAAGATTAAACTGTAATTATACTATATTTTACTTAAAAGATAGAATTCAACATTCTGTGGAATTACAAAGGACCTCAATCATAGTGAAGGATGTTCTTTACAAAATTCTCAAGTGGAATGGTTGGATCACCTTATTGTGAGACTTACTGAAAAGAACATCCCACTAACTCCTTACAGCAGCCTCTGATTTTTTTGTGGATAATTCTGATGAAGAGAATTACTCTTTATATTAAATTAAATTACCTTAATTTATAAATTACCTTTAATATAAATTATATTTATATTAAATTAAATTACCTTCTTTCAATGTTTATTTACTGGCAGAAGTACTGACTTCCAGGATAGAAAGAGCAATTAAGTCTTCATTAATACATTCACCCTGCAAGTACTTGAAAATAACTAGTAAGTCACTTTGTAGAATTTTCCTCTCTAGACTAACCTGAGTTCTCCCAACAATTGTTCCAGTAACACTACAAAACTTCGCTTTTCTTACCACCACTTCCTACAAAAGACAAACATTTAAAACAAATGGGCTACAACACTGCACCACATTCCTAAAGGAATATGCCGGAGATGTGTCTACCCTAGTAAATTTATTACACTAGTCAAACAACTCTCAAATATCAAAATATGCTAGTTTTTCCTGCTAATAAAAACCTATGGAAACATTTCATTACCAGTGAAAAAACATACTAGTTATATGAAATAGATAAAACTGAATACAGAACACTTATTTACTTTTTAAGTTTATAAGTTTATTTTTTGAGAGAGAGAACAAACATACATGCATGTATGTGCGAGCAAGGGAGGAGCAGAGAGAAATAGAGTATCCCAAGCAGGCTCCACACTGTCAGGGCAGAGCCTGAAGGTGGGACTTGATCACACAAACTGTGAAATCACGACCTAAGCCAAAATTAAGAGCTGAACTTAACTGACTGAGCCACCCAAGCATTCCAAGAATGTTTAACTTTTAAGCACTGATATTCCTGTAAGTTGTTAGTACTCTTTGATCTAGAGATGAATTGTGGGAAAAGAACTGAATCCTGGTCAAAAATTATGCCTAGCTTTAAAAGATATATGTGTATGTTGTATACCTGAAACTAACAACACTGTACAGTAATGTGTTACACTGGGATTAAAAAAAAAAAAAAAAGATACACACGTATGTAAACAGCAGTAATCTGCAAAAATAATACTGGTCCCAAGGGCACGTTACTTTGCACAGGTTGCTGAAAAAATGAGTATGCTAAAAACAATCCTCATTTATACTAGCTTTTATCTTTGTTTAGCTTTGACATGGTTTTAATTAGTATTATACTACTCTAAAAAAACTGTTGAGCCCTTCAAGGTGTTTATAAAAATCACTTACTATGCTCTATTTCTTTGACTCTTCACAACAAAACTTAGATAGAAAACTATAAACATATTTTATATAACTATATATTAACTTAATTAGTGAAACCTCACTAATTAAGGTCTAGTAGGGGTTAGGGAAGAAAAGTTCACTTACAAATTATGTATTTTATTTTATTTTTTTTATGTTTTTTTTTTTTTTTTTTATTTCTAGGAGAGAGAGAGAGAGACAGCATGAGCAGGGGAGGGCCAGAGAGAGAGGGAGTCACAGACTGAAACAGGCTCCAGGCTCTGAGCCGGCAGTCAGCACAGAGCCCGACGCGGGGCTCGAACCCACGAACCGCGAGATCGTGACCTAAGCGAAAGTCGGATGCTCAACCGACTAAGCCACCCAGGCGCCCCACAAATTATGTATTTTAAAAAGAAGTTTAATGACCTTAGAGCACATGGAGCCTGTATTCAAGTTTGTATATTCTGCGAATACTGGAATGAAACCTAGGATAGGTCTATCTTCATAAATGGACAGAAATACTTTATAGTGAGTAAATCAAAGAAACCAATCAAGAATAAAGTGGCAAGTCTATTAACACTAGTCCTTAAAAAAGTTAAATGATGTATGCAAATACCATACCATTCATCACCAAAATATTCTTGGAAAATAAGATTTGTTTATATTTATGTTTCTAAGAATTACTCTTCTTTACCTTTGTATCTAAAATACCCTCAATATCCTGAAATAAAGAAAAACAAATGAACATAGTGAGTATCTAATTCTTACCTGGAACCCACTTAATTTCCATTTCCATATCATTTTCTTTGCCTTTCTTTTCTTTTTCTTGAATAACTTCCAAGAGTTGCTTGTATTTAGCAATTTGTTCTTCATCATCCTTCTGACTTTTCTTTGTTTTCCCATCTTCTTCCATACTTACTTTATCATCATCTAGTAAAAAAAAATCAATTTCATTTAATACACAGAAATACTGGACTTTTAAATCTAGTATTTAAATCTCATATACACCATAGCATCTTCTAAAAGATGTTGTCAGATATAATGCAAAAACTGAATATCAAAATCAGACAAACTTCTTTACATTAAATGAATTCATTGAAAGAATTAGGTCTTGTTAATAACAAAAATCCCTTGAAATATAAGTTAATACTGTCTAAGTAGTATACTCGAGAATCTCCCTTTTACTAAAATTCATATTTCAAAATAATTTAATAGACATGTAACATCCTTGGACTTCTCTTCCCTATAAACAAGACAGCAGAGATAGCTTTTTATCCCTCTTTAGGTCTTCCACCATCTAGCATAGTGGCTTTATTTTTTAAGTTTTATTTATTTTTGAGATAGAGATAGAGACAGCATGGAGAGGGGAGGGTCAGAGAGAGAGGGAGACACAGAATCCGAAGACAGGCTCCAGGTTTTGAGCTATCTGTCAGCACAGAGCCCGACGCAGGGCTTGATCCCGTGAACCATGAGATCATGGCCTGAGCTGAAGTCGGGACACTCAACCGACTGAGCCACCCAGGCGCCCCCTGGCATAGTGGCTTTAAAATGTCATGGTCAATAAAAGGGTGAATATTGTTGGAATGCATGTTGTACATGGATTTAACTGTTATATGGAGACAGATAAAGAAAGCTGCTTATAATCCAAATGAACAATAATGAGTCTTTTCATCTGATGGTGAATAAGTATACTTACTCTCAGGATCTCATTAATACACTGAGAATAAAAGTGAATAAACTAGAAGTTAAATCAATTAATATCGTTGTATGAAAAAACATCCATATTTCCATTTCCTAATTTTATAAAAATAATTAGAATACAAAGGAACAATATAAAATTCAGGGCAACTAATACCAAAGAAAACTAATACATGAAAAGTTTGTTTGGTCTGTATTTCCACTGTAATTTTCCAAGTCAAAAACATAAATTAAGAACCTGGGTTTTAATGCAAAACATACAGACTTATTGAATTGACTAAGTGTCCCTGGTAAAAGAAAATTCAGAAGCAGCATAATGAAGACCCTCTCTTCTATAAGCTATGGCTAACCGGTCACTAAAAATGTCTAACATCATTAAGCATTTAGCTGTCAAACATCAATGTTAACAGACTGTCCTCACATCTTAAAAAAGGTGACATGGAAAAAACATTGGTTAAGTAAATGTTTTCGTAGTTTTTTAATATAACGAATAAAAAAACAGTCCAGGACATTCTTTCCATCCTATCACACTTTTATATTTTCACTCAAACAGCTGAAATTCATTTTTTTCCTGTTTGTGCTTTGTGCCACAAAAATAATGTTGGATGGAATTCTGTCATGTATCCCATAATTCAATGGATAAAACATCAGGAACACATTAACAAAATGGCAATGTATTTCTTTCTATTAAAAGCTTACTTCTGAAAACATAATTAGAAGCAAGCTCCTTCCAGGTTGAAATTTTAGTGGTAAGTCTCTGATGGCCTACTTTAAATTGATTTTTTCCAGTACTAAAATTTTACTTTCTGAAGCTCTTAAATGTGGGATAATTCATGTAAATCTGTTTTTTCCCAATTCAAGGACAATACTTTGTGAAAGCCTTAATACTATATAAGGAATGAAAAAAGTAGTCCAACAGTAAGAAGCCCTAGGATGATCTTTTATAAACAACACTAGGAACATCTAGTAACTCTAAAGCATTCAAAAATACTAATGTATCTATCAGAGGCACTAAATTACAGATTAAAGTAAGCTGGCAATCAATTAAAATATTGAAGAAAAATGCTTTTAAAACTTAATGAGTAGTATATTTCAAACAAAAAGCCATTAATTCTAAAAATTTTACAAATGAAAATATATGACACACGGTAGTATAGTAAGCACTTTATGAACATTATCTCAATCTTTCCAGCCATGAGCCAGGTACTATTATTATCTTCATTTCATAGCTATGGAAAGAAAAGCACACGAGCTTAGGAAAGTTAAACTATGTAACTTTAATATGTGGTAAACTCAGAATTTGCAACCAGGAGGGCCCAATATCTTAAGAATATACTGACAAACTACATTTTTGCCCAAATGTCAGTATCATTTTGAAATCTAGGTCAGTTCTCTCAAACCAATCAAATAAATATATTAACAATCTTCACAAGTACACATTTTCTCTTCTTTCCTTTAACTTAAGCTGCTAGTGAAGAAAAACTATCCAGAATTTTCAGAAAGTGCTAAGTGACCATATAGGCATATAAAGAAAAAGAATCTATAGACACATCACTATGTATATGAGAGAAAAAGACAAAAAGGGTATTTGAAAAAGGACTTAGCTGTTCTGGGCACACTAGAAATAAAATGGTCACTCAATCTAGAGTTGCGTTTGGAATGCCAAAAAATTAACAAGCAACAGTCACTGAGGTCTGAAAAAACTGAGAAGGCTTTTATGCCCAACATAACTACCATTACAAATCATACTTTTTCAGAGACTATTAAATACCTAAGAAATTACGCGGTTTTATTAATATGAGATGTCTGAACAAAGAAACTAGGATGACTTTTCTATTCCACGTGTGGAGTACAACTCACTTTATGAAAAACTTAGAAAAATGAAGTAGGATCTTCAGCAGTCTAAAATATGATAGGTCAATCATAGGATTTAAGAAAGTTAAAGTTTAATGGTCCTATAATAATACTAAGAAGAATTTTAGTATTTATTTAATTTGACATTTAGGTAATAAAAATAATATATATGAAAAAGGAAAACCAAAAAACAGCTATGAAAAATATTAAGCTATAAATAAAAGCAAAAATATTTATCACTACTAACTTAAAATACTTCTATCTATGCTTAAAATTTTTTTTAATTACTTTTGAGAGATAGAACACCTGAGCGGGGAAGTGGCGGGAGGGAGGGGGGAGATTCGAAGTAGGCTATGTGCTGACAGCAGAGAGCCTGATGTGGGGCTTGAACTCACAAACCGTGAGATCATGACCTGAGCCGAAGCTGGATGCTTAACCAACTGAGCCACCCAGGCATCCGTCTGTGTTTATTATTTAGAGTATTTGTTGCCAGCACTAAACCTCTTACACATAATTTTGCATGACTGGGAATTCAATTAGATAAGATGAACGAAGGGGCGCCTGGGTGGCTTAGTCGGTTAATTGTCCGACTTTCGCTTAGGTCATGATCTCACGGTTCATGGGTTCGAGTCCCTCGTCGGGCTCTGTGCTGACTGCCAGCTCAGAGCCTGGAGCCTATTTCAGAGTCTGTATCTCCCTCTCTCTCCGACCCTCCCCTGCTCACGCTGTCTCTCTCTCTCCTAGAAATAAATAAAAATATTTAAAAAAAAAAAATGAACGAAGACATGAATATATCAAGGAGATAGCATCAACCATAAATAGGTAAGAAATTACAATTAAGCAACCATTTCCACACACAGATTACATACAGGGAAAAGGGTTTTTTTATGGCTCTATTAAAAAAGAAAAGTTATTTTAGATAAATAGCATATACAACTAGAAAATATACCATTGGTCACTTCAATCGTTAAAATAATTTTTTTTTAATTTTTTCATTTATTTCTAGGAGAGAGAGAGAGAGAGACAGCGCGAGCAGGGGAGGGTCAGAGAGGGAGACACAGACTCTGAAATAGGCTTCAGGCTCTGAGCTGGCAGTCAGCACAGAGCCCGACATGGGGCCGAACCCACGAACCGCGAGATCATGACCTAAGCGAAAGTTGGGACGCTTAACCAACTAAGCCACCCAGGCGTCCTGTTAAAATAATTTTTTAAATAAAATACAGATAATTTGAGAACTTCTGTTTCCATTAATGGTAGGCTAGGTACTTCAGACTAACCCTCTCACTGAGGATGTCAAGTTGGATAAAGTATTTTAAAAATCTTTTTTAAAGCTTCAATGGGTTTTAAAAAAAAAGAAAAGATAAAACTTCAAAGAACTAACCAATTATTAAAAAATTATCAAGTCAAAATCAAGAAGGGAACATGAGGGAGTTGACTTCCTGCACTGATGACCAAATGCCCTGAGAACATTTACTGATCCACAGAGGAAACAGCTATGACATTAACGAGTTTAAGCAGCATGGCCGGGCCAAAAGGACAAAAATTACCAGAGGTGAGGAAGGGATCCAGAGGGATATACTCTTAGGGTGAGAATCAACCAGAAGTAAACCAGTCCTCATGAAAACCTGCATCGCCCACAAAGTTTAAGGAACCTAAAGCCTTAAAACTTGGGGGTAATGTAACAATCCCTATCAAATTAACACCAGCATTCTTCACAGAGCTAGAACAAACAAATCCTAAAATTTGTAGGAATCACAAAAGACCTCAAATAGCCAAAGTAATGTTGAAAAAGAACACCAAAGCTGAACGCATCACAATTTCGGACTTAAAGCAGTAGTCATCAAGGCAGTATGTGCTGGCACAACAACAGTCACAGAGATCAATGGAACAGAACAGAGAACCCAGAAATGTATGATCAACTAATCTTTGACAAAGCAGGAGAAAGTTAAGTGCTAAGTTAACAACTCCGGCAACAACAGATGTTAGCGAGGATGTGGATAAAGGGAAATGCTCTGCACTGCTGGTGGGAATGTAAACTGGTGTAGCCACTCTGGAAAACAGTATGGAAGTTCCTCAAAAAATTAAAAGTAGAATTACCCTACGGCCCTGCAATTGCACAACTAGGTATTTATCCAAAGAATACAAAAACGCTGATTCAAAGAAGCACATGCACCCCAATTTTTATAGCAGCACTATCGACAATAGCCAAAGTATGGAAAGAGACCAAACATCCATAGACTGACGGATGGATAAAGAAGACATGGTACACATATATACACAATGGAACTCTACTCTGTGAAGAAAAAGATTGAAATCTTGCCATTTGCAACAATGTGGATGGAACTAGAATGTATTACACTAAGTGAAATAAGTCAGAAAAAGACAAATATCATGATTTCACTCATATGTAGAGTTTAGAAACAAAACAGATGAACATAGGGGAAGGGGAGCAAAAATAAGATAAAAACCCAGAGGGGGAGACAATCCATAAGAGACTCTTAAATACAGAACACAAACTGAAGGTTGCTGGTAGGGTGTTGGAAAGGGGGTGGGTTAAATGGGTGATGAGCATTAAGGAAGGCACTCGTTGGGACAAGCAGAGGGTGTTATATTAAGTGATGAATCACTAAATCCTATTCCTGAAATTACTATTACAATATATGTTAACTAACTTGGATTTAAATTTTTAAAAATGATAAAAAAAAGAGAAAAAGAAAAAATTGAACTATAAACAATGGACTTTAAGTGGTACTAATGTATCATTGTATGTTCACCATTTGTAACAAATGTTCACTTCGGTTAGGGATGTTGATAATGGAGCAGGCTGTGTGTACGTGTGCGTTGAGAGGGTGCGTAGAAGGATGTGGGAACAATGTATTTTCAGCTCATTTTTGCTGCGAACTCAAAACTGCTGTAAAAAAAATAGACTATTAAAACAGAAAAAAAAGGCTCAATAAAAAAGAAAACAAAAAAACCCCTGGAGTAATGTAGTGTAGTCCCAGAATGACGAGAGGAAATGAAAGTTTTCTCATTAGATACTCTCATCTCAACTATCAAATTAGCACACAAGTTAACTATATATACAAGGAAACAAAATAGAAATATCTTGTAGAGTAATGGAAATGAACCTGAAAAGACTCAAAATATTTAAATTATCAAAGACTATAAAAAGATACTTAACTCTGTTTATGGAAGTGTTGAAAATATCTGCAATGAATAGAAAATTATAAAAAGTGATATTGCTGATTTGAAATATCAAGTAGGACTTTAAATATTTGAAATGTGAAATGTCAAATAGGACAAATAGCCAAATAGGACTTTTATAAGTGAAAAATACAATAACCAAAATTATGAACTCAATAGATCAGTCTATCAACAGATTGAACCCTGCTGAAAAGCAAATTAGTGAACTGGAAGATAGGTCAGAAGAAAACATTCAGAATGCAGCACAGAGATATAATAGATTAAGAAATACACAAAAGTAGCAACATGGAAGTTACAGTGATATATATATATGTATATATACACACACAATTGGAGTGCCAGAAAGAGAGGAAAGAAGAAATGTCTGACTAAATAATGGCTGAGAAATGTACAAAAGTGATCAAAGATGCCATGCCACAAATGCAAGAAAGCCAATAAACCCCAAACATACAAATAAATCTACTGTTAGTTCATAGTAAAACTGAAGACAAAGAAAAAGGACAAGCAAACTTTAAAAGTAGTCAAAGAAAAAAGAAATCCAGACATTTAGATAACCTTCAAAGACTGAAAAAAGTGGTAAAGGAAAAAATTCTAGACAATCTTCAAAAGACTGAAAATGTCAGACAGGTGATTTCTCAAAAACGAAGAAACTACAAGTCACTAGAAAATTATCATTAGTGGGGGGATAGAGAGGAATTCCCTCCCAGAATTTTTTAACCAGTGAAAGTATCTTTCTCAAATGAAAGCAAAATAAGAATATTTTTAAACTAAAACTCAAGAGTTTGATACCAGCAACCACCACCAGAACTTATCAGGGATATAACTAAGGCAGAAGGAAAATGGTCCTAGACAGGAGTATGAGATTTAGAAAAGAATAAAGAGCAAAAAAAGTGGAGGGAATGTGGATAAAATGAAATAGGGCAGGTTAAGTATCAATATCCCATGGGACTTACAAAAAAAGAAAATATATAGTATAACATGAAAGTTATTTTAAGGTTCCCTGTATTATATATGAGAATAAAAATATTAATTACCATTAGATCTTAATAAATTAATGCAATTAAATCAATTTCTAAGATAATCACTAAATGAAAAGAAACAGTCTATTTTCTAAACTAGTTGAGAAGAAAATGGAATATAAAAATATTCAATCAATACAAAAGTAGCTCTTAGTTTTAAAAAAGGGGGGTTATGGAGCATTTTACTAGTTTGTTAAGAGATTGTAAAACTATGTGAATTAGGGCAAGTCTAAAAGGCCAGGCTTAGGGTGCCTGAGTGGCTCAGTCACTTGAGCATCCAAATTTTGATTTGGCTCAGGTCATGATTCCAGGGTCATGGGGTTGAGCCCCTCATTAGGCTCCACAATGAATGTGGAGCCTGCTTAGGATTCTCTCTCAGCCCTTCTGTCCCTCTCCTCTGCTCACATGCACTCTCTCTCACTAAAATAAAAAAATTAAAATTAAAAGAATTAAAAGACCAGGATTTTTTTAAAAATGTTTTTTTTTAATTTATTTCTGAGAGAAAGAGAGAGCGCGTGAGCAGAGGAGGGTCAGAGAGAGAGACACAGAATCTGAAGCAGGCTCCAGGCTCTGAGGTAGCTGTCACACAGAGCCTGACGCGGGGCTCAAACCCACGAACTGTGAGATCATGACCTGAGCCGAAGTTGGATGCTTAACCGACTGAGCCACCCAGGCGCCCCACGACCAGGCTTTTTTTGTTTGGCAAAAGCTGCTGGGGAGGGACGTGGGGGGGTGGGTGGCTGGTAAACAGAGGATCCGAAGTAAACTCCACAGTGACAGTAGAGAGCCTGATGTAGAGCTCAAACCCACCAAGGGTGAGATCATGACCTGAGCTGAAGTTGGACATTCAACTGACTGAGCCACCCAAGTGACCCTGTTTAGTAAAGATTTTAAACAAAATGTTTGTAGTTAAAGAAATTCAGGCTAAAAAAATACTTCTAAAAAGTTTCAAATATTATCCATAGGTGCATAAAATACTATACATTTGAGTATGTTTCACAGGCAGCTTAAGAATTAGCTTGGCACTCCCTTTTAAGCTATTGCCAAAGACATTTCCATTAATAGGCCTAGATTAGGCATCTAAGTGCTTATAAACATAGAACACCAAAAGACTAACAAGTACTTTGCAGCTCCTCTTCTATCTCCTCTTCATCCTCACTAGAGGAAGCTAAGTAGGCTTGAAAATCCATGTCCAAAAGCTCTTCCTTTTTAAACTTCCTATTGAGTGTTGTAATTCTTTCATGATCAGTCTCATCCCAAGTGATCTCCACCTTCACCAATGAGAAAAGACAAAGTGTCAGCAAATCACACTTACAGAATATTATCAATAATGTGGACGTTTAACAATATTTAAAACGTTAAGACATGTTGAAGCAAATCATAAATGACATGCTTAATAAAAAGTATTTTATTTATGAAAAAGGAACAATTTCCATCAATCTGTATGTACTTCCTCCTCTCTCTCTGCTATACGTGAGATACTCTATTATTGGGAGTAAAAATTCATCAGTGTGTCAATTAATTGTAGGGAAAAGAAATAAAACACACTAGTGGAAAAGTTACATTATTATGAATCAAGAAAAGATGTTTTTCACCTGGAGTTCTAAGTATTTCAGAAGGTCAGGGCTTCACAAACTATGTGAAGTCTATTAAAGCTTTCAACACAATTTCGATAGGGTCCCTTTTCCAAAAAAGATTAAGAGCAACTGATAAGAAAGGAATCTGTTGGCTGGAAGTACAGTAAGCCCCCATGATACAGAAATTCATCTATAACATGACTGGTCTGCTGATTGGCTCCTACTCTCTATACAGCCCCTATTCTCAGATAGAGTCTTGTCAGATGTTTTAACTTCATCACAGGGTGGGTCCCCTATGTTCCTCCCACCCCCCCAGGCTAATCTCCCCAGATCAGAACAAAATAAGTACCAATTAACCAAAGGATCCCTAAGATAGCTGTCACTAGCTTAGAAGCTCTACCTAGTCATAGGTTTCAGAATTATCCCTATTTATATAATTTGCCTGAGATGATAACCATAAAACTGCTGCTGGAACTGGGACAGATGCAGAGGGCACAGCCGGACCCTAGGAATTCCAGAAGAGCTGCCTGGACAATATTGCCTTGGTTGTTTTTCAGTTTTGAAAAGAAACCAGCCCTATATATTATGTTATCAAATCTTTTAAATTTTAATATCACATAATGGTGGGGTTTAACCCATACTCAGTAACTCATCAAGGTCACACAGTGCCCACCATGGCATGCAGGTGACAGATACAACAGGTCTCTCTACCATCAGCCTGTCCTCAGAAGAGCACAGTGCTGTCACAGAAAAGGCAATGGGCAGACTGTGGAGTTGCTGCAGAGTCTATCTGTGGGTAGAAAGTTTATGGAGGGGGAAAGAATAGAGAAGGTAGGCAGCTAATTAACAAACTAATTCAATAAAAATTTTCTGGTTATTCATTACTAAGCATTAACGTGACATCTAGTAGTCCTGAATTATTCTACTTAAATTGTTTTTACAATTTTGGATCATATCTGCAGAAAAAAATTTGTTTCTATTTAAAACTTCTACTGGTTTTAACTGTGATTTGAAATAATCTGTTACCTCATCTTTCTCACTAGGTACTAATAACTGACATTATTACTTATTAAAGAATCTAGTTGAATAAGAATGTATGGAAAAGATATAGGTGAAAAAGAAACATTTGCAGGTAATTGACTCAAGCTTAAAGGCATAACAAAAATTTGAAAATAGGTTCAAACAGATGTGGTAGGTAAAAATGCAAATACACTTGTGTTTCACCTCTATTTGCATTTGTGCATTAAAATATTGAACACTTTCCATTTCTAAAGATGTTATAAGTAAATAACACACAAAATCTTTTCTTTCTTTTTAAAAAAATTTTTTTAATGTTTTATTCATTTCTGAGAGAGAGGAAGAGACAGCGTGAGCAGGGGAAGGTCAGAGAGAAAGAGGGAGATAAAGAATCTGAAATAGGCTCCAGGCTCTGAGCTGGCAATCAGCACAGAACCCAATGCGAGGCTTGAACCCATGAACCATGAGATCATGAGCTGAGATGAAGTCGGACGCTTAACCGACTGAGCTACCCAAGAGCCCCACATCTTTTCTTAAAACAGGAGTCCAGCTATACATTTTTAACAGTTGAAAAATACTATTGAGGGGCACCTGGCTGGCTCAGATGGTTAAGCCTCCAACTTCGGCTCAGGTCATGATCTCACAGTTTGTCAGCTCAAGCCCCGCACTGGGCTCTGTGCTGACAGCTCAGAGCTTGGAGCCTGCTTCAGATTCGGTGTCTCCTTCTCTCTATGCCCTTCCTCTCTCTCTCTCTCAAAAATAAACAAACATTAAAAACTAAATAAAAAAGAAAAGAAAAGAAATACCGTTGAGGTTCCCATAGCAGCAGATGTGAAATATTTTGGTTTATATGCTGTTAAATCCACTTCTGAGGCTATGTCCTTGGGCTCATCATCAAAAGTAATATCATCTGGTATAAACCTAAGAAACAGAGAAAAAATAAATTTATTTAAACATATGCTGTAGTGATAAACAACCAGGGGTTAGATTCTCCCTTAATTAGTTCTAGTTTATACATACATACCATATAAAAGTTTCTATAAAATACACATGTAGATGAGGCAAACAATGTTAGAAATGACCCTGGCACAAAATTTCTTAAATTCATAAACTATAAATCTATAATTCCACTAAATTTGAATGAACTCTGTAGGTAGAAGCCCTGCATTAGGAATCAGTTAGTATGAATCAGGTGCAAACACACATTGGTCCCTCATGTTTCAAAATGACCTAGACTCCTGATAGCACAATCTTGGCTTATATTTTAAAGATCAAATAGAACTAGTAATGGATAAATGCTCTAAATATAAAGTATCAGACACAAAAGGTGACACTGAAAATAAGGAAAAAGCTTAAAATTGATTAAGACTAAAACCTCTTCACAATATTATCTTACAATATTTTTTCAGCTAATAAATTTATTTTAACAGCTAATAAATAATTAGCTGTTAAGTGTAAATGTAATTGTCTGACAATGCTTAAGCATCAGGCTAAAGAATAGGGGTGAAAAACAGTTAGATAACCCATGGTTAATATATTTAGGTTTTGTACTGTATACAATTTTTTCCACACACACAAAAATATGCTCTGTAATCCCACTAAAAATTACTTTTTGGGGAGAAGATAATTAAGGTTCACTAGGTCTATACAGTATCCTCCTCCTCCAGCTATACTTTTGCACAGATTTAGTAGAAAAAAAAAATATCTGAAATCAATATTTTTAAAGGTTATTAACACACATGCATTTATATTTTGGGGCAGATGAAAAAAAGTTTCCCTAGATACTTGGACAGTAGCAGAAAACTCAATTTTCTTTTCTGATGCTATGTTTAACAAAATAAAACAGGCAATGTAAATTTTTTGCATGGTCACTGATCTTACTTTCTAGGCCTGCCAGACTTTTCTAACATTATATGGAAATTTCCCTAAAAAGAATGAGAAAGAACAAAATGATCCTGAAAAGAACATGTTAACATGAATTCACAATATCCAAAGAGTTTGATATTTTAACAAATGTTTGGTATCTACTATTTACACATTCAGAACAAGTACTTCCTATTGAAATTGTTAACATAATAGAGAAGGAAATACTTATCTGATGAGATAAGCCCTTTGTGTTAAATATGCAAACATATTAAAATCTTACTCCAAATTATCAAATCAAAAATTTTTGTTTTCCTACCAGTCGGAATGCCTTCAAAGTATGTAAGCCAGTGACTATAAATGATACATTTCTTTCCTGAAATATTTCATTTTGAGAAGAAAGTCTCTCACAAACCTGGATACAGAGTACAGATTTCTATTCAAAGTGTTATAGTAAAATGGTGTACTGGGTTCAAAAGGATTAGACTAATGATAAAATGGTACTGTAGTTAAGGTTCCCATTTCCTCAGAACTGACATTAACATTGTATGGAACCACAAAAGACCCCGAATAGCGAAAGTAATACTGAAAAATAAAACCAAAACGGGAGGTATCAGCATCCCAGACTTCAGCCTCTACTACAAAGCTGTCATCCTCAAGACAGTATGGTATTGGCACAAAAACAGACACATAGACCAATGGAACAGAATTAGAACTCAGAAGTGGACCCAAAAGTATACAGCCAATATTTGATCTTTGACAAAGCAGGAAAGAATATCCAATGGAAAAAAGACAGCCTTTTTAACAGATGGTGTTGGGAGAA